GCCCCACCCCTCATTGCCTTTCCCCTGACCCTCAACATATCTTCACACTCCATACTCATTTCTCCACCCCTCCCTCAACCTCCAACATATCCTCACTCCCAATCACTTTACCCCTCAACCTCCAACACATCCTCACTCTAAATCACCACTCCCCAACGTCCAACACATCCATAATCCCAATTCACCTTACTCTATATAACCCCATTCTCCCAAATCACCTCCCTAGCCAAATCTTCCCCAAACACCCCAACACATCCACACTCCCAATTCACCTTGCCCCATAACCCCAAACATACCCCACTCTCCCAAATCACCTCCCTAGCCTCTTCCCCCAACCCTCAATATATATCTTCACTCCAAATCACCTCGCCCATTAACCCCCCACACCTTCACTCTCCCAAATCACCTTATCACCACTCCCCAACCTCAATCACATTCTCACTCTCAAATCACTTCGCCCCATAACCCCAAACATACCCCACTCTCCCAAATCACCTCCCTAGCCTCTTCCCCCAACCCCCAATATATATCCTCACTCCAAATCACCTCGCCCATTAACATCCCACACCTTCACTCTCCCAAATCACCTTATCACCACTCCCCAACCTCAATCACATTCTCACTCTCAGATCACTTCGCCCCATAACCCCAAACATACCCCACTCTCCCAAATCACCTCCCTAGCCTCTTCCCCCAACCCCCAACACATCCTCACTCCAAAACACCTCACCCATTAACCCCAAACACCCCCACTCTCCCAAATCACCTCATCACTACTACTCATCACCACTTCCTAACCCCCAACACATCCTCACTCCCAAATCACCTCACCCTATAACCCCCAACATCACCCAAATCACCACCCCAGCCTTTTCCCACATCCCCCAACATATCTCCACTCCCAATCACCCCACTTCTTAACCCCAAACATACCCCACTCTCCCAAATCACCTCCTTGCCTCTCCCCCAACCTCCAACATACCCTCACTCCCAATCACCCCATCCCTTAACCCCAAACATACCCCACTCTCCCAAATCACCTCCCCAGCCTCTTCCCCCTAACCCCAAACACATCCTCACTCCCAATCACCCCACCCCTTAACCCCCCACACCTCCACTCTCACAAATTATTTCATCACCACTTCCCAACCCCCAACACATCCTCACTCCTAATTCACCTTGCTCTATAACCCCAAACATACCTCCACTCTCCCAAATCATCTCATCACCACTCCCCAATNATCCCCAACATACCTCCACTCAGCCAAATCACCTCCTTGCCTCTCCCCCAACCCTAACTCAAAATTAAATGCCCATATGCCCCACCCTGGACATTACCTCACACTCTAAAATCACTTCTTACCTGGTGTGTGTGTAGTCATCCCTGATTCATTGACGTGTTGGTGTCATGTTGCATCAACACTCATTCAATGGATGACTGCATGAGACCGATATACCCATACATTGATAATCGAACACATGATGTCTTTAATTCATTGTCACACGATATCTAGCACAATAGAGATCAACAAGATGAGAAATGTCACTATAGTCATTAATCTGTTGCCATGGTTACGGGTGGGCAATCATAGATTTTTGCCCGTGTAGAAATAGTTATTAATCCAGGTTTCTGAATTTGACCTGCTATACGACAATCTCTGCAGACTTTTGGGTCGCCAGGTGAGCTGGCTTACCTGTAAAACCTACCTATAATAAACGAGGCATCTATATCAGGTACAGGTATGTTTACATGTATCCTAATTAGACTACCGAGTCATCCCAGAACCTGGAGATAGAATTGATGGCAGCTGTTGACGGAATGTGCCTTTACAAGGACATATTACCTTATATGTGGACCAGCAGAGTGAAATGCCTAATTACCTACCAAGGATAACAAGGAGCTATGATCATTAATATCATGTACATCATATTCCTGTATGTGCATAAACCAAGAACATTCTGTTTTGATTCAGTTTCTATTTTTTTCTCACACAAATTGGGATGTAGAGCAGAACAGTGAATAATATCAGGCAGACAGAATTTAATACAACTCACCGAATTTCAAGCAGGATTTCAGTGTTTGGAATGGAATTTGTGTACAAACAACATCAATTTGTGTCATTATTTTCATCAGCGTCACAAATTATTACACCAGGAAGTCCAGTTTGTGGATTTATATAAAAAATACAACAGTCTGTGACGCATCAGGAGTAAGGTTACATTAAGCTTTCCAGCACATTGATGTTTTATCCTGCAGGCTCCACTTTCTGTCCTATAAACAATCATTGTTTGTTTACGACGGATTCCTGGGGATGTAGCAGTTGTCAGACTTGTAGATATCAGGTCTCAGTGTCCTACAAGCAATGTACATAATCAGTGGAGCTTTAAGGCTCTAGGCTGGATTGTCTCGTCAAAAGTACAGACATATTAGTACAGTCCTGTGTCAAATCAGTGACTCCAAGACTCTGTTGTTTTCTGTCCTCAACACTTATGTTAACTTACTGGAATAGTTAAAGATCAAATTCAATAGTGCAAAATTGATTTGATATCTGGATAAGATGGGCAATTGCTATTAATCCGTTTGTGTATTTTGGATTTTATAACTGTCATTTGATTGGCTAATTTATTATAAGCTGTTGTTTGATTGGCTGGTGATCATGGGAGGTTGTCTTGGTTGTCGACGTTACGATCCGTCGGAGGAGAGAGGGGTTGAGGTTCTACACTATGCTCCTACTGACATTGTCCAAGCGATGGTCCCAGAAGTCAACCAGCGTCAGTGTAAAAATCGTGTGTCTACAAGAGTTGTCAATTTCCCTGAACTGAACATCTGTATCTCCAAGGAAACTAACATTGATAAGCAGAAGCGGTGCAACCTGCATAAATCATCTGAAGGTCATATCAGGGAGAGGTTCACATTTGGTCACTTTCCAAAGTGGAAAGGGTACAAGATGTGTTATCATTGTGAAACGGAGGTAAGCAGAGGAACGCGCCATGCTCAGGAAAACCGACGGAAAGTTGTGGAGCACAAGCCATTTTGTAAAAAGTGCAGTGTTGCCTTGGGTTTAAATAACAAACGTTCAACAGCTGATGGGCAGAATCTCAGCTTTACAACCCTTTCTCACCTGCTAGCATTGGTAAGTCCAACTACTTCTTAAATTATAATTATTACTCTCTTACCTCCTTGGGCTTTGGTAAGTCGGAGTTACAGTGAGGCCTTCAGTAACCTTCTATCTTGGTAGTCAGTTTCCGTGGTTACGTACTCTTTTAAACCTCATAGCTTTGGTTAGTCAGTGTTACTGTAATGAATTACTCTCTAACCTTCTTGCACTTTGGTGTGTCAGAGTTACCGCTGTTACAAACTCTCTTACCTCATGGCTTTGGTAAGTAAGAGTTTACTATGGTAAATTACAGTCTCTAACCTTCGTTGATTTTGGCAAGTCAGAGTTACCATGGTTAGGTACTCTCTAATCTCCTGGCTTTAGTAAGTCAGTTTCCTTGGTAACATACTCTCTAATCTCCTTGCTTAGATTTGGTTAGACATTACCATGGTTGAAAGTACTCTCTAATCTCGTGGCTTTGGTAAGTCATGATCCGTTACCATGGTTACTTACTCTCTAATCTCCTAGGCCCAGTTGTTCAAAAGGTGAGCTTCATCAGTGATTTAAGTGCAAATTTTAATTTGTGTATATCTTAAAGATCGACACAACCATTTAATTAGTTACATCTTTCCAAATATCAACTATTTAGTAGAGTGAATTGACAAGCAAATCTGTGAGATTTTACCTTGTTTATTGATGAAATTATTAAAGGGTAAAAAATGTTGTTAAATAGAATGGCTTTGGTAATTGTCATGGTCAGTTACCATGGTTACGTTTACTCTCTAATCTCCTGGCTTTGGTATTTCATGATCAGTTATCGTGTTGAAACTCTCTAACCTCCTGGCTTTGGTATTAGACAGTTACCCTGGTAACATCTCTCTAACCTCCAGGCTTTGGTAAGACAGTTTCCGTGGTAACATACTCTCTAACCTTCAGGCTTTGGTAAGTCAGAGTTACTGAGATAAATTACTCTCTAACCTCATTGCTTTGGTAATACTTCATGATCAGTTACGATGGTTAAGTACTCTCTAACCTCCATGGCTTTTGGACATAAGTGTGAACATGTGCTCTCAAACCTCATGGCTTTGATAAGTTTTACACACACTCTAGCAAATCATGAATATCATACAGCACTCATGCTTTTGGTAGCAAATGTAGCCATTTTATTTTCAATTGGCTATTAAAAATATAAGGCTTCTTTATTTGCTACTAGGTTTTTAAAAAACACCAAGGAAAATCTATATCTTTGTCCCATGAAAACAATTCCACTATATAAGCTGCCCCGTTTCGGCGTGCTCAACATTCGTTATTATGTTCATTATGGGGTTTATTTACATTGGCTGTAATGATCAATTTGCCCTCATTACGGGGAGCAAAAAAGGCAAAAAAATAAACTGCCTGGTATACAGTGATTGTATATGACATTATGATTAGTCTGGATCTTCTCAATGTTTACATACATGTGTATAATCCCCAGCAGATGTATTATCTCCTGTATGTATTATTGGAGCAGAGATAAACAGCACAATATTAGTGTTAGTGACGTTGACATGCCTGGGTTACCTCGACAGATATAACAGCTTTATCTCCAAGAAACGTCTGTTTATTAAGGTAGACATTCCCACCACTCCTCAACTGTTAGACTGGGTATTAGCTACCAGCCCCTTAGTTTTTATGAAGAATTTCCCAGCTACATTTTACTGTTAGCTTATCTCCCCCTAGTTTGTGAACTTAGGGTCTGATCAAATCCGGAAAATTGGTAAGTGCAGAAAGATCAAGCCCATATATTACATTACTGATCATGAGATAATGCTTATTTGATCCAGGGGCCTGTTCCTTTATGTGGAACAACCGGTTTTCAGTTTTTAAATCTAACATTTTGCGTATTAAATATAAGTCCTGGCAGACCAGCAAATGTTTATGCAGGCCTTGCAATGTTTAAATATCAAGGCTTGCCAGAAAGTAGTATCAGATTACTAGGTCGGACATTATTTCGTAAACAAATAACTCTGGTGCAACCAGTCCAACCATTTGGATCACAATAAACAAAAAGGGTCCATGCCAGTTATTAAGATGCTGATGGGTGAGGACACCATATTGTTCAGGGGCTGACTCCAGGGCTCCCCAACCCTGGCATCCTCTATCAAAATATTTATATATGTATATATTATCTGCTTCGAAGCAGTATATGTATATACATATTTATAAAAAAAAAGGAAAGATGTTGATGGGATGTTGCCAGGGCCAGTTCTATTATCCTGGGTTCACAGGTAAAATTAGACATCCAAGTGAACAAAATTATTAGAGTTTATTGTTTATTTCGGTTTCAGTCCCAGATTTTGATATCTGTCACCTATCACTCTGAAGAGCATTCGTCGTGTGTTTGCTTCTGTTGGAATATTACCAGGCGCTAATTTCAAGCTCTTGGATAACTCAGATGTTGATTTCCTGTTCAAACAGGAATAACAACCTGAAGGTGTTTCAAATTTCACACGGGAATTACATATAACCTAAAGTAGCCCGAGTTTCCTGGCCCCAGTTTCCTCTGGTCTTGACACCAGACTTAGACATTTTGACAGATGTCTGCACCAAAATGTCTAAGTCTGGTGTCAGGGCCAGAGGAAACAACAGCTAAACCTAAAGATGTTCCGAGTTTGAAGTTTGAATCAGGCACCTTTGAGGTTCCTGAAGGGGTAGACTGTTATATTATGGATTGCTGTTGATCGATTTAGATATTTTATGTCTGACCATAATGACTACCGTATATATTCACGTATAGTGTGTACTTTTTTAAGCAAAAATTAAAGTGTCAATAAAGGGGTGCGCGGATATTCAAGAACAATCCAAAACCAGTCCTTGGTCGCAACCAGTTATTTGATCGTGAATTTTTCGGGGATTTTCGGAAATGTTTTGATATATGCTCACAGCAATTAACTGTTGAGTTTCGTTGAATAACTCCTCATTGCATAGTCTATTTAACCATTACGAAAAATTGTAAGTTTAAGTCATATAATACGATGGAATCAGATAAAGAAACTCAAGTAAAGTAGGCCCAACTTTCAGGTAGCAATACCACGAATGGGGAAACATAAGGAAGAATTGTATCGTAATAAGCTAAGCACTTTGGGGTTAAAGTGTCGTTCTTGGGTAAAATCATGCTGAACTATTTAATCTTGACAGTAGGAATGTGTCAAAACGACATGGGGAAAGTGGCGAAGTTTGCAAGTTCATGTATTGCAAAAAGTCAAGGTCCCGTGATTCTATTTACTGGCAGGAACTCATAATGTCACATACATGCAAATTGAACCGATAATAATAAAAGTTTGAGTTTGAAAAATAAATATTAACAAGCTCAAAACAGCCAAATACATTCCAATCTTTTCTTTTCATAAAGGAATTGCTGAAATGACTGCCTTTAACAAACTGTACACACTGCCGATAGGCCTATCAATGTCCGATTCAGTCAGATTTGCAGACGATCAGAAAACAACTTTGACTCATGTATTTTATAATAAAAAAATGAAAGATTTATCCGTATATTAGATTGAATCTTTTCTGAAAGTTATTGTTGTGAAAACAACATCGTTTTATTCCAATTACCTGTTCTGCCCATGCCAGGTGACAACAGATATTTGATTTGATTTGGTAGATTTACAGGTAAAATATCTCAGGTAAATATAGTACATATATGATACAAACTATATATGTAATTACCATTCCTTTGATGTTTCTACCTATTGTCCTAAAGATGTATGCGTTCAGGGAACACACCAGATATTTGCCACATGCTTTCTTTAATTCAATGTGTTGGCATAGTTACCTAAACACCATGTATGTATATACACCTGTCATTGTTAGACCATTTTGATTGACAGGTGGAAATATATGTCAGTTGTAGCTTGGTCAATGATTTATTATACTGAAAATGATCATATACAAATGTAGGAGATGGGGTGACTTTCATGTCGTTTTGACATATTTCTAGTTAATAAATAATTCGTTATTCTAGAGACTGCATGTTCCGGCCTGATCTTAAATCTGCTCTGCTGTAAACAGTCTTTGGGAGGTTAAACTTCCTGTTAAGTTACAGTATTTTCTTTATATTCAATGATAAGTTGCAAAATTCCCATGGCAGTGGATATTTTGGGACATAAATATATTTAAATCAGTATATTTATTTTGAACATATTTCTTTGCAATTTGGTAACAGCATATACAGTTACAAAATGCTTAAGAAATTACGATCCGTCGTCCTTACAGTTAAGTAATTACAACACAAAGCTGGCGCTCTAAATCTACTTTAAAACAGGATTAAAAAAAATTTGTCTATCTCAATTTCAATTTATTTCTAAATTCTTGGTATATATAATTACGTTATTGTTCGTATTTTGGCATTTTTATGTACATTAATTAAAATTATGAAAGTAAAATACACAATAAAGATAAAAGCCAGGGGAGCTAGGTCGATTAGGAGATCTAGACTTTCTATTTACCGGAGATGTATGATTGATGACAGCATGAATGACGTTAGTGTAACCAGGTAGTGTGTTTATTCGTACCTTGGGCACTCATTAATGTTTGTGGTATTAAGGTGGATTGTGACATCACATATCTACGTTGTTGTTGTAGACCAATGAAGTCTCAATGGCCCTTTGTTTATATTTACAAAACACCTGTGAGATTGATAATATCGATCCTATAGCCACAAAATATGTATATTTACTGTTAAGAAATTTGGTAGATAATAACACCTTTTCTACAGGTAATTTTTTATCTTCCTTTTTCACACGATCCCAAAAGAAATATCAATGGAATTTCCTACGTAATGCAGCAATATTGTGTGACAACAGGGGATTACCACAGAGTAAAAGTGACTGAATAAATTGACAAGAATATGACAAGCGAATGCTGAGATGTTAATTAAAGTAAACTACTCGAGTCAAAGATCATTTCATATATTTACTTTTATGATGTATCTTGACTAGTACCAATTATATTTTGATTAATTTCCATTTTCAAATTCAGCTGTGGTGATT